AACATCCCCAAAATTCTCTCAACCGCTATAATTCAGTAATGATTCGAAATATATCGACAGAGGTCAAAAACCGCAAAGATATTTCCGCCAATTTTAAGGTGGAATATTATATTATATCAACCTTTTAACCTTTACGACAACTTTTGTCAATTCAGCTGAGCTTCGACTACTCATCTGGCAGCAATCGATAGCACCCACGCAATTCTTTGTTCCCGCCGTTAGTGCCGTTCGCGCTCTCGACGGGTGGCCAGAGCTAGGAGCCATTTCACTTTAGCTTTCCCAGCCCCTTAGTGAAAGTCGTGAGCGTCGTACTCGGGTGTGGACACTTTCCGGGGACCGTGGATCTATCAAAACTGTATGCTGTGCGACGTGGAGAGGCCAGCCAGGGCAGCTATATCACTTTAGCTTCCCCAGTGCCGTTTCCGAAACCGCGCGCATCGTTCTCGGGTATGGACTTTCGCCGTGGACCCGTCAAAACTGTGTGCTGTGTGTCGTGGTGAGACCGCGCTCCAACGTTTGGAGGAACTTTGACGTGCTAAACAGTGGTAAGGGGCCAGCGGTGTGCAGATTTTGTGGTGCCGAACACGAATTTTTCAACGCAACCCGCTTGCGGCAGCGCATCGCAAGGTGTCCGAAGTGCCCCCAGGGCATCAAGTCTGCGGCATCGGACGACCCGACAAGGTCAGAGTCTGGGGCATGTCGGTCCAGGAGCCCATCTGAGATGTTTCACGATCAGAGCGTGCACCTGTGGAAAATGAAAGCCTAAGCTCTCAAAATGAGGCCGACAGGTATGTCAAGCAGCGAACTTCTATAGAAGCGTTCTTTAACAGAATGACGCAATAGTGTCAAAGCAGGATCGACTACTCTATTGTCATTAAAGAAAGGTTAATGCACTTGGTTATTAAATAGGACATTATGGTCATTAAATGGGATATTATGTCAACGTTGATATAACATTATCTCTTGACTTCCCGTTTAATTCAGACGTGCCCTCGACGTTTTAAGGTCGTTAAGTGGGACGTTTTGTCGACGTAAAACCCACCCTTTTTTTTTTAGACATTAGCCTTTCTATATTATATCGAAGGGATCTAACGTTCAGACTTTTGACGTTCTTTCGACATGTGGTTCCTGACGTCATCGCCGTTCTTTCGACGTCTTTTCAACGTGCCTGTACTGCCTGGGTAAGAGGCAAGAAGAGTGCTATGCTGGAAACCAGACCGCGTTAAAACTACCAGCTGAAACTCGCTGGGCGGGCGTGTCACTGGAAGGCCTACTGAAAAACAAAGAAGCTTTACACAAATCTGGGATCAGACACTGCTGTTCTCTCAGATGCCTATGACATCCTGTTCAAAGTAACAAGACAAGTTGAAAAGGCCCATCCAAAATCTCCCTTGACGACAGGCGAAAAGGAAAGAATAGCAGAAATTCTGAGTGAGCGACGCAACTTTATTTGCTGTCCAGCACATGAGGCCACAAATTTGCTCAACCTGAAGTTCAAAGGGCGGTGATTAAGTGAAGAAGAAGTATCCCACGCGATGGACTACATCACAGAGACGGCAGAGAGGATGTATCTCGATGCGGAAAAAGTGTTGTCAAATCTCGCCGAATATAGGGTTCAGTCAGGTAGTTGGTCGAGGATGGCATTGGAAGACTCGGCGAAGCATATTCCACCGTACACGTGGTGGCAAGGTTTGTATACCTCTGAACCCCTGACACCAATTCCTTGTTGCCTTCAAGTTTTACCCTTCTCCGCTGCGTGCGAACAAAACTGGTCGAAGCTCAGCGGTGTCCACACCAAGAGTAGGAACCAACTCAAAGGACACAGAGCGCAGAAGGTGGTGTTTGTTCGTACCAATCTCGAGCTGAAGAGCCCTGATCTTAAATGCGACGACGGAGATGACTCGAGCATGGAGTCAGAGTAGCCCTAACTAAGACACTGCTCCAGAACATCCGTCTTAATTTAAAGAAGATGTCTAGTGAGTGCGTGCATATCTACCTAGTCCAAGTTTGGTTTTAACTTTTAAGTTTGGTCCTGTACTCTTAAATGCAGAACTAGTTGTACCCTTAGAATAAAAAAAGGTAATGACGAAATACAACAATGTTGTTGAAACGTCACTGCCCTTTGAATACCGGTATTTAACCTGGCATTAAAACATGGCACTACCTTGATAATCGTACATGCCGCAATTTCTTTTTTTTTTTTTTAATGCTTGAAATGCGACTATATTTCGTCAATCAGCTGTTATGTTATTTAAAGCTATGTTCATGCTGGTGCGGTAGTGGAGACTCGGCTGCGCGTTAAGAGTCTCATATATTGATTTATTGTCCGAAAAACACGCCATAGATGACTTAGAATCCCGGCTTCATCACATGCGTACATACGACACCAACAAACCTCGGACTGCACTATAATTTCTCCTCCGTATAAAGCGTTCACCAAAGTCCTAAATATGTATAGTCATACTAAACAGTAAAGCAACGGTCATTCGGGATGATTGGTGTATAGTTTTTAGACAATGCAAACGGTGCAACATCATTGACTCCAGTCCTAAAATTTAGATTTAATATTTCTACCGGAATCATGTAGTTGCAATTATTCAAACAAATGTTACCAGGGTGAGGCGGCAGACAACCCGAGGTACTCGTGTTTCCTCACTTGCCCTGTCGTCGTTCTGTTTTGTTTTCTTAGGGGTTGAAAGATATATGTTTTGTATAGCGTGTTTAAGTTTCCGCCTGCTTTGCCAACAAAACTCAATTCAATGATGTGTGATGACTATTTTCCCTTTCGATGGGGTCAGTGATATCTATTTTAACGTTCGTTGCAGATATGTGCTTAATAGGTTTGTTAATACTTGAGAAATTTGGGTTTCGGTTTTTCTTGCGAATACTCTGTCCAGAGAAAAAACCTGTCCGGTTTTTTTGCCGAGCCCTCGCATCACCAGGATTAGGTAGCTTTGTTGAGTGTGCTTCTCACAGCGTAGTGGTGCACTGCAGAGAAGCGAGAACCGCAAAGTAGTCATCGCTATTTTGCTAATTCTGCTTCGCCGCAGCTCAGCCGCGTGCTAAGGAGAAAACATTCTTCCACAGCAGGACGTTGCACTCGCAATTGATCATTTTAAAAGAATTGACGCCACATGGCAGAAACGGTGTTCGAGGATTCGGAGGGTGAAACAACGCGCGAATTAGGAAGGAGAGGAAAGAAGCGTCATAGAGCGAACTTGGGAGTGAAAATTTAAGTCACAATAGAGACAAAAGAGACTTTAGGGGAGCCCAATTATCTAGACCACTCCGTGGTCGAGGGTGTGCCCGCGCTTGCTTGAGCACGTGTTCACGTATTTTCGTACTAAAACCTCCTAAACCAGCGATTTTCTAAAATGGCCCCTTGCGTCGGGTATACGTTTTATTGCAATTTCTAGGACTTCAATGGGATATCATTTTGAGTGCTTAATAATGATCTGTTCTAAGATTATTTCTGTAGAATATATAGTTTTGTTTACCTTTGGTTCCGTACCTAAAATTTCTATTCACGGCAGTTCATACTGTCCTTCATCATTCAGCATATATTTGTCGTGCCTCGAGATACTATAGACGCAACTAAACCGCTGGTTAGTTCGGTGTTTGACGGAATAAAACCTGCCGTGCGATTGATGCTAACAAACGTTTGCACAGAAGTGGGAAGGCAAAGTAGGCAATGCCTTTCAGTGGACGTATGTATTGTAACGTATAATATTAGCAGTGGTAGAAGTGAAAATTAAGTGTATCTTTACGCTCCAGAAGTTGCTTTTTCTGCTCCAAAATTACTCGGGCCAATCACATTACTGATGACATTGGTCCTTGTTTAAAACGCGACAAAGCCTTGTGATACGTCCATTTTTTAGATATATCTAAAGAAAGAGACGTAGCGCGATGTCTGATTGTTTTCTTAATAAAAAAATGCAACGCCATAGCGTACGTTTTCTTTCTTTATGCTTCGGGCGTGTGGATCGCGTTTGCGCCGGAAGACACTCTCAGAATTAACTTTAGTGCCCCTGTAGGATAAACTTTCTGCATTCACGCAACATGAAACGGGAATCAACTCTCGTTTTTAGATGCTAATTTAAAAAAAAAATAAAGGGAATTTTAACATTTCTTTTAAAAATTTCATATTCCGCTTGATAAATACAGTCTAACACTGTACCCGGTAACTAAGGATGAAACGTCCGCACACTGTCAATCAATATACACTAGTCGCTCTAAAACCAGATGCGATATATTCTGCACAAACGGCACTGAACGGATCCTTGACGAAGTGCTCTTCGAAGTCTATCGATGCTCTGTTTCTTGTAGTAAGGTGTTTTCGAAGCATCTCATTCCCTCACTCGGCTCTTGATCGTAACAGAACGAGCCCGCCTCGCTTATCTGTTTTTAACCAAGCGCTCGCTTTTCAGGCGACTCATTGGCACTGGGAACGTGCTGAGCCTCAGGGCACCACCGCTTCTGTTTAGTAATATCCTCTGCAGTTTGTTGTTTTCCTTTCCGAGGCATTCTGAAGACGTCTGGAGCACTTCCAGCGATAGTCTGACTTCTATCAAGAACGGAGCCAACTGTGACACGCGTGATAGAAAGAAAGATGCGGAGTGAATGCCACTTTGTTTCGTGATACAAATGAGAAACTTTCAAAAAATGGTTGAGGTCGGGCAAAAAAAAAAAAAAAGCTATTTTATTCAGAAAATAGGAAGTATTTATGAGGTGGTACAGTGCTGCCTCGCTTACATAGACACCTCCGTTCCCCCGAAATCCTCCATAACGTGAGTCGATCGTAATAACAACGCAAAAATGCATGTATTTACCCAATATGTCGCATAATTTTTTTGTCTATATAGGGAGGTATATATTAACGAGACATGAGGGTATTTCCAGTGCTGTGATTGCTGCACCAAACTGCGCCATCGTGCTTGTCCTGCCATGATCTGCTATACGTCCCACGTTGACCGACGCCGTATCGCGCCGCTTCCCCGCAGGCCTGGTACGACCGGTGGGTTAGCGGCGACTCTCCCAAGGCGCGGCTGGTGAAGGCGGTGACGGAGTGCACGAAGCAGCGCCAGCGCCTCGAGCTCCACCAGCGGGGCTTCTCGTGCTGCGACATGCTGGCCATGGCGGCCGCGCTGCATCCCTCGTTGGTGACGCGCTGCGAGGCGTTCCCCGCCTGGGTGGAGCTTCACGGCGCCACCACTAGGGGCATGTTGGTGGTGGACCGGCGGCCCAGCATCAAATGGAACCACGGGCGCCCGCCCCACGTCCAGTTCCTTCTAGGGTTCGACGTGGAGGCGCTCAAGGAGCTCTACGAGCAGATGCTGCGCTGAGCCAACGCCTTTTTTACACGTTGGCACCTCAAGAACCATGGAACAAAAAAAAAAAAAAAAGTTCGGCTTTTTGCGGAGCATTACTAATTTTCCCCCTTATGTGGAGCATTGAGGTATATGTAGGTGCATTTTATATTAAATATGTGTTATCTTATCAAGAAGTGCATCTTTCAAACGCCAAAAGCTTCGCGTCTTTCTCCGACAACCGAATTTCGCATGAACTACTTCGCGCGGCGTATGAACAGTGCGCGAAAATTCCTTTTTTTCATAGGTGAAAACGGGTATAGGTAACAAGACCTAAGCGCTGAATTTTTATACGTCAGTGACGTCACCCACAAGAGGCCAGTGCGCGTCGAACACGAGTGCTGTATAGGCGTTCGGCGGGGAATCGTATCCATTCAGCGAGAACACGATGTCTCAGCCGAACGCTGATGCCGCACTTTTGTCCAATCCCTGCCCCGCGTTGGCCTCCTGCACGTGACGTTAAAGATTCTCCTTTGCTGCCTTAGTCATTGACAGGGGGTGACAGGTGAAGAACCCGGTGCAGACGCTCCGCCGCCAGCGCGTTCTCTGCCTTTGATATCGCTTTGTCGCAGGCGCTAGCCAAAGCATAGCGGAAGGCAACGCGCAGGTGGATGAGCATCGTTCTTAACCTGTCACCGATCATGTCGTGCTGCTGCCGAATAAAACTTTCCGTGAGTCAGGGTTCCTCCAGAGCGAACCATGACGCACCGACACTTTTTTCCTCCGTCCGCTATGGGTTTGGCGCGAGATGGGGTGCATCCAGTACGCGTGAGATCCACGTTGAGCGCTACCGTTGTACTGGTTTCGTGTAATCTTAATCCCAAAAGAAATCTGAATTATAACTTTAACGTTTTTATTTTTCTCGTTACGTGAAAAAAGTAGTAAAACTACAACTTAAGGTTACGTTCGGAAACAAAATCTAACGTGTTGCGGCTAAAAGCAACAAAAAAAAAAGTAAAAAAAAAAGAAAAAAAAGTTGTATTAACATTACCCAAAAGTGACTGTTCGTTAACATTCTGTGCTAGAAGCACAGCGGCGGCGATCTCAAAGCAGACGTCAAACCTAGTCACTCGGTCCCACATGCCGCTTAGGGCTGCATTACCAGGGGGATGTGGGACCACGCTACTATGTTTGACGTCTCCTTTGAGATCGCTGCCACTGTTTAAATAACCCTTTGGTTACTGTAGTAGTACTTCTGTTAAAAGCTAAAACACCACAGATGGCCAACTTTCTGGGACACTCCGTAGAATAAAAAGTTTTCAAGGAAATATCAATGTTTGAATTTATTTGCTTTGCATCATACACAGGCAGCTAGAGTTCTCAGGAACAACGATTTTTGCCAAGTAGGGGGGGAGGTGCTGCGGGTTACCTTTTTGTCAGAACTGGAGATTGAAGCTAACGAAAGCACGCTGGGATTCCATTTCCCATGTATTTTGTCAATAAAAGCAACGTGGGCGTTATTTTGTTTATATGCCACTACTAGAAGCTCGTTACATGGCACGTAAGCACCCAGGCAACACTTGGACATCCCCAGGATGTTTTCATGACAAACCTTCTGAGGACTTTATGATATCCTGAGGATGTCCTCAAATGATCCTGGAAACATCCTAAAAACGTGTTATTGTCCGGCCTCAGGACATCCTCAGAACGTCCTCAGGAGGGCAGCCAAGGATTTTTCTAGTACATTTTCTAGTGCATGAAAGCATCCTATGCTCCTTTTCACCTTATTTTGTACCGCAGACAAGGCTAGAAGCGCGAGCTCATAGCGTTGGGAGCTACTCTTAACGCACGAGAGCTTGTGCCGTCTTGATGTGCCCTAGAGCAAGGAGCTCGCGCTTGTAGCCTTTTCTGCGGTACATCATAACGTGAAACAGAGTATAACAGCTGTTAGGATGCTTTCATTTTTATTGTTTCTATGTTTTCTCCAACTGGATTTTGAACCTGAACATGCCTGCAAGAGCAGCCTGCAGAAAGAAATTCATTGTTGTGTTTTAAACTGAAATTCACACACTAATTCTAGATTACTTGTCAGTGAGAGGTTAAGAACACAGGGCGAGGGAAAGGGGGAAGAAAGCTGACGGAATGCTGAAGAGGAGAGAAGAAAACCTCTTCCCTCTAGCATCCCGTCTGCTTTATCCTCTGCGTCTTTCCTTGCCCTGTGTTCTTAGCCTGTAACTATGATCATGATCATGCCATTCATTATTGCAAACAAAGGTAACTGTTCAAGAAATACTTTATTGGAGAGCAAATGTTATACATGACTTTTTTCAATGTCTGCACCAGACATGCAGTCTGGCTTCGCATCTTGGCCAGCACTAGTTCAAATAGTCAGCGGGATCTAGAAAAAAAATCAATTCCATAAGCACCAATAATAAAAACAGGTAATGTGAGAAACTTACCATTATGTCGAACATCTCCGGCTTTTGACTGCAGCTTTTTCAGTTTCTCTCCAGCGTGGCGCAGCCACACTTTGACGATGGTCTCCGCGTCAGCTTTGTTTGCACACTCAACATTTGCTTTCACTGCCCCTGAAACATTGATTTGTGATGACAGTCACAGCAAAAAACTAAGATAGTCTAGAAAGGGATCACAATTGATGTCAATAAAAATAGATGTTCCAGAAAATTATGTCCCTTAGTGCTAACACAGAACTATACATGGCTATCTGACCCCACAGCAAAGGTTTCCCTTATTTAAAAGAACTTTTCAGAAAATAGTATCATTCTCCCACTCCCGAGTCAGGTTAGTTTGTCGGTTTTCATGTAAAATCAGTCTTGCTTAATTTTACCGTCAGGGCAAGGATATTCAATGCAATCTGCATTTGACGTTAGCTCTGAACCCGACAACGCCCTTGTGCAATATGCAATATTTTACATAACTAGTTTAGTGAATAACTTAGATGACTCTCACACTTCAAACAAGAGTGTCTTACTGCAAATGATGTCTGCCACATTGAGATCCCGAAACTTTTCTTTGCCTTTCTGTCCTAACTAGCTGAAATTTACAGCCACTTTCTGGCTAAGCAGGACCTCCAAGATGTTCCTGGTAGCAGACCCCATGGATCTTCCACCAAGGCCAGTGAACTGATGTAGCTAAAAAGAATGTATTGGATTACATGGACGCTCTTATTAAGTCAAAGGTTAGAAAATATAACAAGATTGAGAATCCTTCATACCAGAAGCGTTCTTTTTCTTTCATCCCAAGATAGACTGAGTGATATAATCTTCTTTCTCAAATCGTCGTCTTCTTCTCCTTCGCCGTTAATGAGAATATTTTAAAATTTTAAACATCAGAAACCAAATAGCCAATAAATATTAATAAGTAAATAATAAATAAATAAATAAATAAATGACTACTAAAATAAATAAAACAAAAAAATAAAAATGAACTTTTTAGCAAATAAATTATAATTAAAAATTAAACTTAAAATTTTTGATTTTTAATTTTTTTTTTGTTTTATTTATTCTTAGTTGTCATTTATTTATTATTCATTTATTAATGTTTATTGGCTATTTGGTTTCCGGTGTTTAAAAATTTAAAATGTTCTCATAACGGCGAAGAAGATGACGACGATTTGAGGAAGAAGAAATATATCACTGAGTTGTAAGTTAGCGCTGCGAGTCTGTTTCCTTCTTGTGTGCCTGTGGGTGTGACAGTTTCCGCGCTGTTCCATCCAAGCATGAATTACCAACTAGCCCAAACATCCAGATTATCAAGCCATCATCAACCTCGAGGCTATTTCTGTTTCTGTCCTGGCTTGACTTAGCTTGCTTGGGTCTGTCGGATGGGTGGATAATTACAATAACGGTACGCCGTGTACTAGGCGGTAGCTTGCGCCACCTAGATTGAATCTTGCCAATGGAACTGAATTCCGAAATACTGCGCAAATACAAAACTAATAATAATTGTAGTGCGTCCTGGTTTTATTAAAGAATTGTTTGATCGAAATTGTAGTTAAAAGGTGTGCTAAACTTACATAACTACATGTAATAATTTGTTTGTGAAATTTAGTTTAGCAGTAAACATTAACTGTGTATACTACCGCCATTTCATTCATTTTTTTTAAACGCAATCAAATTGAGGACGCATATATTACCTTTACTTTGTATCCTTCGTCCTCAATAAGTCCTCAGAAGGATGTTTCTAGGATGATCCAGCGACTGACGTTCTCATGGCCCGGGCCGGGGAGGGGGGGGGGGGGGGGGGTTCTCCCCTTGCCCCCCCCCCCCCCCCCCCCCGGATCTGACCAGGGGGGGCCGAAGTCTACGCCTATGGAGTGGATAACTAACAATTAATTCCGTTCGTATTAGGCGGTAGCTTGCTTCACCTAGTCTGCCGTGACTAACTAAAGTTTAGAATTTAAGTAGGACACACCAAAAATAAAATATGAGATAACTATATTGCTAGGACCCATTGTATGTTCCTATCATTCTGCTAAGTTTTTTTTAAACGCAGCTCTTAGGCGACCTAGGGTGCCTCAATGACCTTCTGTTTAGAGTGATGCCACCCTTTGTAGTACCCGATGCCGACAGCACGCGCTCACGGGGAAAATACAAAGAAATCAACGAAAACAAAATGTCGCCATAGCACAGTCAGCGCCACAGACGCGTGCAGGGACACGCTCTTTCACGCGCTTCTGAACAAAAAACAAATGTAAAAGTTTGAACAAACTGGCCAGATGTCTCCACCCTAAGCAAAGCGCACATGAAGGCACCCTAAGGCGCCCGTTTCCTTGTTTCGCGGCGTCGACATCGGCGTAACCGCGCTAACTTTAGCGGGAAAATTGACGTCACGTGACCTCAACAGCAATTCAATTCCCCGCTAAATTTAGCGGGGATATTAAGTTTCTCCGCTAGATTTAGCGGACAAATTCAGTTTCTCCGCTAGATTTAGAGGACAAATTCAGTTTCTCCGCTAGATTTAGCGGGACAATTGACGTCACGTATCTTCGACATTAATTCGAGTCCTCGCTAAATTTAGCGGGGAATTAAATTGGCGCTTAGGTCACGTAACATCAATTTTCCTGCTCAATCTAGCGGAGAAACTGAATTTTTTTTCACAGGTGACGTGACACCAAGGCATGTGACATCAATTTACCGCTAAATTTAGCGGTTAAATTGAACCGGTGTTGAGGTTAAGTGGTGACAATTTTTCAG